TGGCTTAATGACAGTGGTGGGGCCTAAGGGAGGGATAGGAAGAGATAAACTATTTATGCTAGTGTAGTCATGTAAAATGGCTATGAGCTTAGAACCTGCCTGCCAATTTAACTAGATCACTAAATGAGCAGGAAAAAGGAGGACAACTGCATGCAAGCTTTGTCCTTAGGTTGACTAAGGACTGTATCTATTTTTTAGGGCCGAAGTAACAAATTATCTTAAGCTGGGTGGCTTAAAACAGCAGCAATTTATTGTCTTACAATGAAGAAGTCCAGGTGCTTAAAGCCAAGGTGTCAACAGGTTGGTTCTCTCTTTGCAGTTCAAAAGGAGATTGCTTCATCTCTTCTTCTAGATTCTGTAATTTCTAGACATCCTTGGAATGTCTTGGCTGGGAGAGGCCTAATGCCAATCTCAGCCTCTAGGGACACATGCCCACCTAGCTTCTGTGTCTGTCTATCGCTATGCTTTCACCCAGTTTTCTCCTTTTTTGTATGTCTGTGTTCAAATTTATCCTTTTTGTAAAGTCACCAGCCATTAGAGTAGGACCCACTCTAGTCAAGTATGACTTTAATTCATTTAAATTTGAAAGACCTATTTAAAAATAAAGTCAGGTTAATAGGCACCTAGGGTCAAGACTCAAATATATCCTTTGGGGGAACATGATTAATCTCATAATAAGTGTGTCCCAATCTCAGGTGTACATTGGTGTGCTGTGGACAGTTTGTATAACATCCTGATGCCTCTGTACCAGCCCTCAGAGAGCCCACAGTAATCTGTTTGGGATGATTTTTAACGTCCCTGGAGTAATTCCAATATATAGTGAAATCTCAGAACCTCTAGACTAAAGATGCTAGTTAGCAGTTTCGAAAAAAGGCATTTTAGAATTATAAAGTATGTTCCAATGAGAAAAAAATCTTCTTTCATCATTTTGACAAAAATGAAAAGAAAGTCAAAAGTCAGTGATCTGAATGAGGAACATTTAATCAAAAAGAATTTTAGAAACCCAACCACTTGAGGCGGTTCATTCACTGACCATTTTGATGTACCCCATACTTGGGGCTACTTGACTGATCCAAAAATTCTATTAGAACCTTCTAAATTATCTGCCTTCCACCAACTTCCACCACAGTAAGCAAAAGACTTACTGTGCTTTGCTGAGCTGTAATGAGGTATGGAAATTATTCCTTCCCTAGGACACTGCTAAGTTATTAGCAAACAGTGAAAATGAGTCTTTTCATTTTTATAAATCAAGTGGCCATGGTGAGAAGTTCCACCACTAGTGACACAAATGATTATTATGTGCTGTTTTATACTGATGGCTACTCATAGCAAGGCTGCATTAATTTATTAAAGAAAATGAATTTCAATGGATATAAAATGGCTGAAATATAAACCATTCCTTTTTTATTCCATTTCAGAGCCTAAACACCCATTTATTACAGATGCCCATGTTATTCAAATAATATCTATCATACAACGTCCTCATGTAGCATGAAGATCTGAAGGAGGCAACTAAATCATCATAAACTTGTTCTCCTTGTCTCTTCGTCTACTGTGCCATGTTTTCTATCTACCATAATGTTTTACCCCAACTTAGTCTGTGTAATGGTTGCGGGTTGAATGTCTGTGTTCTCCATAATTCATAGGTTGCAACCATAACTCCCAACATAAGAGTATCGGGAGACGGAGCCTTCAGCGATGATCAGTTTATGAGGGGAACATCCTCTCAAATGAGTTTAGTATGGGAGAGTCCAAACATGTTGCTTCCTCTCCTTTTCCGCTCTCTGACTTGTGAGGATACTGGAAGAAGATGTCCTCAGACAAGGTCCTTAACTAGCACCTGACTGTGTGGGCACCCTGAGCTTGAACTTCAGCCTCAGCGCTAGATGAGTAAACGTTGTCAGTATAAGTTACCGCATGCATGGCCACTGATTACCACAGCCTAGCTAAGATACATCATTATTTTTTCTTCATACTTCATGTTAGATACTTTTTTAAAGCTAGTTCTGCCTATCCTCATAAAGAATTAGTACTTATTTTCATTCTCAAACTATCCTCTCAAGTTTCTTTTCTCTTAACTGAAAAGAAGACATTTATCTCAACTTATCAACCATGATTTATTTTTATGTATAAAAGTCTTAAAGATACAAGCAGAGCAAAAAACCCAATTAACAGTAATACTTTCACTACTGTGAAACAATTAGTATCATAATGATAATACGAGCAGAATTTAAAATATGCAATTTTTTTTTTTTACATTTTAGCATGTGAAAAAATCTTCCTGTGTGTTGTAGGAAAAGTCATCAGCTTTTGGTGAAAATATTTTAAATAGATATGGTGGATATTTATTGAAGCTCACATTAAAAATACCGATCTGCTAAATTAATGATCACTTTGACTAAAAGCTGTTATTATAACGAAGTGATACAAATGTGTGTGCATCATAATCTTCCCTTTAAAATATACTTAAAACAGAGAGTATTTTTTCATTAAGACTGAGGCAAAAAAGATGGCAAAATAGGATGAAGAAATCAGAAACTTATGGTACCTGAGTGAATCATGTTTATATCACTGTGACCAAATACTTGCGAAAAATAAATGAAAAGAGAAAGGATTTGCTTTGGCTCATGATTTCAGAGCTTCCACCCACAGTCAGTGGGCTTCATTGTTTTCCAGCCTGAGGCAATATAAAAATATTGTGGCAAAAGGGCATGGCAGAGAAAAGCTGTTCACCCATAGCAGTCAGGAAGGTGGCCAAAAGGAGAGCAAAAGAGAGAGTGAGGGGATCACACGAGAGAAAGGAAGAGGCTAGGGACAAGATGTCCCCTTCAGAACCATGTTCCCAGTGACCCACTTTCTCCAACGGAGTCATTCTGCCTAGTAGCACATTCAGCTGTGAACTCAGCAATGATTTGAAAGGCCAAAAGCCTTTCAAAAGCACCACCTCTGAACACATAAGCCTTCTAGGGAATATTCTGATCCAAACTATAACAGCGGGTATAGTCAGAAACATTACAGTGAATGGTTTTTATAGGCAGTATTCTTCAGTGGCCTGTGTAAGTGATTTTTCTACACAAAACCTAAGAACATGCAATGTCCTTTAGTTATTCCTCAGACTGCAATCGCCTCCTTCGTATCAAAGTACACCTATAATCTTGTACACTTTCCTTATCAATTCTCTTAACTTTGTCAATCTGTTGTCATATCAGGTTTTCATGAAATCTACCTTTAAGAAAATAATCAACCCATATGTATAGCAGCATAACTCATAATAGGTAAATCTTAGAAGTGGCCTATATATCCTTCAGTAAATGAATGGATAAAGAAAATGTGGTATTTATACACAACTGAGTGTTACTCGGCCGCAAAGAAGGATAAATTTAAGCCATTTGTAGGAAAATGAATACACCTTGAGATCACAATATTAAGTGAAATAGATCAAACATGCAGCTTAAATATTGCATTTTCTCTCATTTGAGATACCCAAAGTGTAAATAATTTAAAGAGCAAAATAAAAGATAGATAATATGAAACAGGGAGGTAGATCTTTTGCAAACGAGAAGAGGACAAAGAGATGGAGTGGTTAAGAAAGATAAGGAGAAATAAAATGAATTAAGGTACATTACATACATATAGGAACTCCCCACGAGGAATGTAATCATTATGTATAACAAAACTGTATAGTCTTAATAAGAAATTTTTAAAAATACTCTTAAACAAAAAGGAAAAAATGCTCAGAATCTTACTCTCAGAGACAGATTAATGCAACCAAGTGAACACAATTCTAGATGATTTCTTGATATCGGAATACAGTAATGCATTTTCTAAAAATGAAAAATTAGCAATACCATAAAAAATACTGAGGGGGAGCCACAGAGTTCATGTCAAATACAGAAGACAACACTTTTCAGGGCCTGGTATTTTTATTCCAGTTTTTCCATCAATGGGCTCAGGAAAGTTCTATAATCTTTCTGTACCTTAGTTTCTATGTCTCCATAGAAAATTAAACTTTTACAATATTTCAATCTGAACTAACCATTGTGAATGTAAAAGAAATCATTGTAAAACTTAATTCTATGATTTCATGATTAAGTAATCCCAACATTGGTTTGTAACTTCTTTCAGCTTAAATCTTTAAGGTTGGGGATTTATTTTGCCTCATTTTTCAGAGGTTTCCATCCATGGTCAGTTGGCTGAATTGCGTTTTGGCTTGTGGCATGACACAAAGCTGTGGCAGAAGGGCATCCTGGACAAAGGTTTGGGTGGCTCGTATGTTGACACGAAAGGTTTAGACTACATCTGACCCCTTCGAAGTTTGGACTGTGGACCAGGAATTAACACTGGTATCTTCCAGGAACTTGGAGAAAATGTAGAGATTATGCCCCAGTTTTGACCTACTGAATCAGAATCTACTTTTTATTTTTTACTTAAATTATTGAGTTTATTGGTACAATCAAAGCATACAATACAGTTACATTCATTACTGGGATCCTGTACCTTCACATGACAGGTCTTGGTTCTCATTTTTTCCCCTTGTCCATGCCCTCCCTTCACCCCCTCCTCCCCTCCCCCTTTACAAACACTTTATTTCCATTTTTTCATTTTCTCATATTTTTTCTTTTCCTTTATTCCCTTTCCCTTACCCTTCCCACTTTCCCTACACCTTTAGCCCTTTTCTTATCTACTTTTTAACCAGACCCCCATCAATCTGTGTACACATTAAAGTTTGAAAATCAATTAACTCGGTGACTGATGACAGTCATTTAGACTGGCAGGGCTGGGCAGCACAGAGCAGAGAGCCTAACATGAGACCTCTAGATTATAGATTGTGTCATTTCATAAGAGTGAGCCTCTAAACACATGGGTTCACTTTTTGTGTTTGAGCTCCTTCATCTGTAAAACAGATGGTAAACAGTAGTTACCTCCTGAGATTACTGTAAGGATTGCCAAGGAAGGAGAATAAGCAGTTTAATACAATACCCAGCATATTGGAAACTCACCCAATGAGACATTTACTGCAGTCCTTTTCTGTGTATGTCAGATTCATGCTGGGACTCTGGAGCGGTAAACAAAGCAAAATCCTTACCTCCATGGAGCTTATAGTCTAACAGAGGAGACAGACAGGCAATAAAATAATGGACCTGTTTTTGAAAGAGAGAAAAAAATCTATCATATGTCCATATGCTCCATGATGTCAAGAGAAGAACAACAGGGCAATTACACACAGGAAATTCAGCAAATGTTTTCAAAGGAAACAAATGAGCGAATATCTGAATTCACTACTATTAAATTAGTATCTGGAGAAAGGCTTCAGACACACAGCTGATCATTTATGCATCTGTGTTTTCAGAATCCTCTTTCACCAGAAAAGTGGAGAAATTTGCTGGAATAAAGATATCGAATAGACAATAAGACAAATTTAAGACAAAAATTTCATGGAAAAAATTTTGTTGCTGTTATGTAATTATTATAACAACCTTCCCTATTCCAATTTGGATGTCAAAAAGTTATTATCATTCTTTAGCCTGACTCAGAAACAAAAAGAACCACCTCTCAAACCAATAACTCAGCACTGGAGAAAACATCACAATTCTATATATCCCACAATTTAAACTCAGTATGGATACAACCTAAAACTTTGATATAGTAATATGGTGATGCTGATTAAGACTCATATTTTCCCCAATAGAAATGAAAAACTACATACACCTTTTTACAGAAGTGTCTATGTTTAACTTGGCAGTTTAGTTACATTCCAATTTATACTTTTGCCTAAGAATATCAGTCCATGGACTCATGCATAGTTTTCCTCATTTCTCTTTGCTACACAACAAATATGTAAACAAATAAGTGTTATGTGGTATCACTGGCATGAAATAGCTTCTATATTCCAGGTGGGGTATCTTAATAATAGAAAGATGATCTCACACTTTAAAGTGCTTTGATGTAAAAATGTGCCATCTAAAAAAGGAATTTATTATTCTTAAATTATAATATCCTAAAAAAAGGATTTGCTATCTAAATCGCCGCTGAAACTTAACTGTAGGATTACTTATAATGCTACAATCAGTGAAGGCCAAATTCAATAAAAACTCCATCCGGCATTCACACTGAGAAGACCCACATGTGCCTTTTTTTTTTTTTTTAATTTCCTGGGCTTCTGGCCCAGAAATTGAATGGAAATTTTATTTAAACCTGCTCCTGTGTATCAACTTTTGGTAAACATCAGGGTTTCAGTTAACTCATTATGCTTCATATTTTGGATAAAAAAGGTTATAAAATCATGCATATTTATCTGTGTGCATATGTTTTTATATTTTCACCTGTCCTAACTAGCAAACTGGGGCTCAGGCTAAAAGTTTATCATCTCTCCTACACATTTCAGCATTCTTCCACCTTCCTTCTGCTACAGCCATAAGATTCAAAATTCCATTAAATCTCTTTCCAGTGCTAATCAGCTTTCTCCAGCACAGGCAATGTAATCTGAGTCTGGAAATGACTAATTATTTGGAGAGGGTTTTGAGGGGTTAGGGTATAGATTTATTTCTAATTTAAAGAAGCTTTTCTCTTGTCTTTTTCACCGTCACTTTGCTGCCTGGGGCCAGCACCCCCTTCTTGATAAAATGCTCTTTCCTTTCCCATTAGACAGAGCATATATGTATGTATTAGAAGATGAACACATTATGAGGCATCAACTTGAAAATATTAAAAGGAGAGGCAGGCCTGTGATGGCTGCGAGTAGAGCAGTAATTGCACCTGCTAGGTGCAAGGCATGAATGTAATTTGCATGTAAAGTCCTTTCAGTTCCTTCCAGAATACACCAGTTCTAGCCAATAAAACACTTTGTCACACTCAGGGGGTTTGCCAACACGTTCCCAGATTGCAAGCAAAAAGATTATTTACAGTAACCAATAACAACTGAAATGGCCATAAACAATCTTTTCCATACCTGTTCTATTTTTTTCCCCTCTTTTGCTAAGTACAGAGACCTTAAGGAGTCCAAATTTACTGCAATTTAATTCTGATGGGAAAAGCACATTATTTTTATTTACAATACCATGTTCTATCTATGCCTGCCTCTCCTATCGCTCACATCATAAATAATTCCTGCCTTTTTTTTATTAATCCAGCCATTACTCTTACAAGGATGAGCTGTTTCCTGGTCAAGTGAGTTGGGGGAAAAGCAGCCAGGAGGAAGTTCCCTCACGTATTGCAGAACCCAACCATCCTGTGTGCACCTGGGGCAAGACAACACCATCCCTGAAATAGTTCCTGGGTAGCGAGACCACCTGTTCCACTCACTGAGAGGATTTCTGTGCCAAGGGAAGTGCTGAGTGCATGTATGTGGGCTTCGCTGTGGGGAGCATTACCTTGCTTACAGCTGGGATTTACCGCTTGTCTTTTAAACTTCCGCAGCTTTCCTTAAAAGTTCAAATTCCATTCTGAATTGCAGGGGACCAGAGACTTACTTCTTGGGGAAATACACACCGATGAGAAAGAGCAATGAAAACAGCCATTTTCCTGGAAACTCTTATTCAGATCTTGTTTGCCAGGGTAGCTGCCCTCCATAAGGCACAATTTTGTCCTCACCTTAGAATACACTAGGAGAGGAGGGGAAGGGAAGGAAGGAGAAAAGGAGAGGAGAGAGGAAGGGCGAAGAAAAGAGGGGGAGGAAAGAATGAGGGAGGAGAGAAAAGAAAAGAGTACATGGGAGGGGAGGAGAGGAGAAAAGGCTGCAAACTCGAAGTGTAATGAAACTAACACGAGTAGGTATTTTAGTAATATAAAGGGACAACAAAGTAAAGATAACATTTTCAATGTCAAAGAATTATAAAATATAAAGCCTCTTCCACAAGGACTATTGCTACCTGTATTCTGAGATACCCATCTAGAAATTGTGAACGCATACATGTCTCTGTTCGCAGAACAAAACTCCACACACTTCTCCAGTACCGACTTATTTCTCCTAAAACCTCTTGAAGGTCATCATGACAATGTCAGAGGCACCTCTCTCTCTGCAGCTGCTATATTCTATCCCACTGTGCCTCTACTCTATTCGAATTAGTCACCCCCTTGATGATAGACTCTAGATTTTTACAACTGTTTCTTCGCTTACAAGTAAAGTTGCGTCCTCGGCACAGGTACTGACCGGGAATCTTGCCTTAGTTCAGCTGAAAGGTTTGGGGCTTAAATGGGTTCATTATGTTCCCGTCTTGACTCTGTAACTGACCATAATCGAACGTACTTAGGCAAATAAAGGCGGTAAAATCTGGATCATAGAGTCCTTGTAAGAATACAATTGCGATTATTCCTATAACTGACTCATTGAAACCTCAAATTAATGTCTTCCTCACTGTACCAGGAATAATAATAGATACAGGGCCGCTGTGAGGGCTGCACGAACTAATCCATTTAAGCAGCGTAGCCCACTGCACCGTAGAGAGCGGAACCTTCAAAACGGTCTGCGCACCTGTGTCAGCGCCGCTGCGGGTTTTTTCCTAGAAGCGGAATCCTGCCCTTAACGGGGTGCGCCCCGGACCCCAGCTGGGCGACACCGGGCCCCCCAGCGGCGAGCCGA